TTAATGATATTTTTCATTCAGTTTTTGTATCTGATCATAAAATAAAGTGATATGACTTAAATTGTATGTTGTATTGCTTACTTTTTTAACATTTTAATATTCGAATTTTATCATGTGGCATTAAGCCATGTGCTATTTTAGGTACATAACTTCTGTGGAAAGTTAATTGGCAGAATATTCGTGGCATCTGTTATTGACTGGTTAGAGAAAGACTGTTATATTCCTGCACCCATGAGTGAATTTCTGCAACATCTAGTGAATGAGAGGATGTAAAATTTCTGCAACATCCAGTGTGTGAGTGGTAGCAGAATTTCTGCGACATCCAGTGGACTAGTGGTTGCAGAATTTCTGCGACACTCAGTGCATGAGAGGTTGCAGAATTTCTGCAACATTCAGTGACTGACTGTTAGGAGATTAGACGGATTACCTCTGCATCCTTTCATGATTGTCCATTAACACATAGTTTCTTACGGACACGCTAAATATTGCAGAGGAAAATATAAATTTTCAATTTATTTAAATTTTTTCCGCTAGATTTGATTATTTTTGAGTGATTACCAAACCTTGCAGAGAAAAATCATTAATTTATCCAAAAATGTGCTATTTTGGAGAACACAAAATAGTTTGGAAAGCGTTCAATACTAGGTGCCATACTTTTGGTATGGTTCATCTGTAAGAGACGTAGAGCGAGTAAGGATGATTCAAAACCTAAAAGAGAACCAGCACGGATGGCACAGTTTGAGAATCCAGTGTACCTGGGTAACCCAAACCTCCGAATGGTAAAACAGTTTGACAATCCACTCTACGAAGTCGTCGAACAAGAGCCACAAAAAAGAGTAGAAGGTAATGAATATTCATTGGCGGACGAGCCAGTGCTGGATGCATTCAGTGACGACGGTCCCGAAGGACTTAACGAAGACACTGTGGACTTCAAAACCAAGGATTCTACTAAGGACTTTGAAAATAACACTTTAAGTTTTACATGCGATGGTTTTACAGCGATGGTTTACTGTGTTTGATCAAGAAATCATGTGATCTGGTGATTTAGACATTGTTAATTTGAATTTTTTTCGCTTTAATCAGAACAATTTTTCAAGTTTGCTTTGTCTAAGAGAAAGGAAAGGTATTCTTGACAGGCGTAAGAAAAGGATGCCATGATATGGGAGTTCCCCCCCTCCCTCTAGATTGAAGAATTTCGTAGTAAGCCTCCCCTCCCCTTTCTAACACCTTTTTTGATGTTCCGTTAATGAGTATAAGTTCAACAATACCTTTATCGATAAAAACTGATACCTCTGTCAAAATGCTTAATTCTGCATCGTGCAATCCGTCAATATCCCTTGCGAGGATGACTTAGGGGACGTTGTTACTTGACAAACTTTGTATAAAAATATCTTTACTTGTTTTGACGTTAATAATCTTTTTCATTATTTTCCAGTCAGGTTCAGGTTTTTGCTTAGTTATTACTTTTCCGGGTATTTTAGGAGAAAACCGATAAAGGCATGCTTTCATCTGTAACATTAAAGTAGAATTGTTTAATTGTCACGTAAAATGTCCTCCTTACCTCTGCTGTGAATCTTCGAGGTGAAACATGGTCATCGAGTAGTAATGCTAGGAAACTAAATTTTTTATTGTATGGTGTTGAGTCTGTAAATTACGACGTCAACTGAGCTTTTTTCCGCGAAGTACAAAGTTTTATAATTAACACTAATCGCTTTTCCGAGGCCATTATTTGATTGTTTTATTAATATATTCCTAGCTTAGTAAGTTTAACTCGTTTTTCTTGCAACTTGTGTGTGTTGTTTATGTGTGTGTCTAAATAAATCGATTTTATATTTGTAATATAGTAATCCCCCTCTTTAAGACCAGGTGATTTTGGGGCAAACAATGATAAATATGTTTAAATAAGAAAAAAAATTGAAAAACATTTTTTTAAGAATTGAATTAAAATTGCAATAATTCAGTGGTTTTCGTAGAGCAGTCAGTGGATCTTTGGAGAATTCTTTGAACATATTTATGAAAAGTTTCACATGCATCTTGTGCGTTAAACTCGTTTCCCGCGGGTGTCCATTTCAAATTAGCTTGTCACAAGTAGAGCTCTATCCAGAAATTTGAACGCGGATAATTTGATACAACCCAGGAGCTAACGGCCTTAGTTTAAAGTAAATTTCGGGGTTTGAGAAATCCACCAAGAGCACTAAGAAACGATCTTTCCCTTCGCAATGTCGGCCGTATCATGTACGAGGTGCAAGCTTGGAGGTCTGCGACCGCAAGAGATTTGCGACTGATAATTGGATCTCTGACGTTCTTGCACTTTGGTCACATTCGATAGCATCATGTTAACACTGTGGCATGACAGTTTGTTTTCATAGTGTTCAAAAGAAAGGTTGATAAAATAGATTTTTCCGAATATAAACTTCTCGGACCCGGCTGGAATTCTCATTAAAAGCGATCCATGCATTGGCAATTGAATGCACTTGGACCTGCATGCACGCAACGTACCAAAAAAGGCAATTTGACGGGCAATGAATCAATCGTAAAGTTTATGGATCGGAAATTTCTCAGCTGGTCAGAATTCCAGTTAATGGAATTAAATTGTCGGAACGAGGTGAAGATAACTTGCAAGATGAAAAAATGAAAAAAAAAAGGGTATTGCAGAGGAAAACATCAACAACCACTCCAAATCCAGGGAAAATGCAATTGGCTCGAAGGAAATCTGAATTGGTAGAACGTAGATCGACATTTTGAAAACAAAGCGGTTCTGGCTAAATTCTAAAATTTGTGGAATTTTTTATTATGTAGATTACGACTAAGGCCCCTGTTATGTTGGATTTAAAGCTTTCGGAGTAAAAGTTATGCGGCTCGCCATATCATGTTACTAATTGCATTGCCTCTAAACTATGTTCTCTCCGCTCAGTTGACACATACTAAGTGCAAACAAGTGTGCTGAAAGCACAACTACTCTCCCAAACGCGTGTTGTTCTTCACAAGCCTCAACAAGGTAAGTTTGCAGGATCAAGGAGAAAGTATTAGATTTCTAAGTGTCCCATTCGCCGAGCTGCATGAACTTCGGTTACGTGCTTTATTTTGAGGCAGGCATTACATAACAATCTTAATGTATCAAAAAAAGCGGTAATGATTTCTGTTAAGGTCGATCTGCACGCAGTATTCTGTTTGTTCTGTTGCTTATAAAAACGCGAAAATTATTTCCCGGCAGAAATTTTATTCATATAGAATGGCAAAATCTTTTCCCTACGCGAAAAAAAGTAGTCATTCTGCAAATTTAATACACTACAGCAAGATTTCTCGTGGAATTTCGCTTTTTATATATGATTTATTTATTTCAAGCAAAGATTCATTGAACTCTCTGAAAAGCAGTCAATAATGGGTAATAATCATAACAATCGGACATCTTGCTCAGTGCCGGCACTTACTGAAAATTTAGTTACATCAAAAATGATTTCTTGATAAAGACGATTTTGTCTTTAGGGAGCTAAGCTAAATTATGAGCGAGGAGTTGTTGCGGATGAGAACATAACCACTCAACGTGGTTGTTCGCCGAGATGATTTTTATGCCATGGCCATACCATTCTGGAAAAATTCTTATACCTCTCGATCAGCTTGACGTTATTGTTTCGCAGCAATAAATAGCAAAGAAGACGCAAAAAATGGAGTAAGCAATACATTTCGAAGTAGAGTGCTTGATGACTCATAAAGGTCTGTAAATCAAACAGCATATTCATTGACTAGATTCTAGATCATACGCTACGTTGTTACATAAAAACAGTCCCTATACGTGAGATAAAGGAAGAAACAAAGCCAGAAAAACAAAGCTGACAAAACATAAACAATGAAAATATTGCGAGTTGCTAAGGAAATCATCAGTTCCGAAGAGGTACAAGGGAATGTCCATTGATGAGCATTTCGCGCCGAAAGAAAATGATACCTAACTCGGGTGTTTGAAGAGATCAGGCGTTCGTTTGCAGTGCGCGATCATTGCTTTAGTTTCCTACGTAGCGCAAGAAAACTTCCTTTACCAGAAGCAGGGTGCGTTCATTGTTTTCTGGTTTGATTCTTTGCCAAAAGGTGGGAACGAATAAGTTCGCGTGTTCAAATCTTAGTCACGTAACTTCGCTGAACGACATTACGTTTCTTGTTGTGCAGCACGTTTCCCAGGCGTTTTCTTAACACGCACGATTTCACAAATTGAATAAAGCTTAAAAGGCTTTAAAACCCCATAAGCAAGTCTTTTGATCATTAGATTGATCCCTCTCAAACCACAATGGTTTCAATTGGCAACGCTTAAACTGCCAAGCGCACGAGCCACTGAACGAAATTAATTTTTGGATTCTTGTGACTTCCTGATATTTGTTTTATGACCAACACCTCACACTAGCTTGAAATATCAACATAAACAAAATGCATTGAATAGCATATCTTGGATTGACTAGAAGTAAACTTTTCAGTTTATTATGCGCCTATTTTCAATTCATAGCTCCCCGGATCTAGACTCTATATTCATGTCTTCAAATCACGCTAAAAATGACTACAAGTAGTCCTTTGCCTACGATGTTTTGGCAGTCCAACTTCTAAAAAATAAATTCTCCTGCTTTCACAATAGCCTTAAATGATTGTTATCTCAGTAATTTGCTGAATTTATGCCTTCAAAAGGTTGCTCCTCCTCTAGGCCAGTATTCGTCCGCCCATAATTCGCTCCATTTTCCAAATAACTGCACAGCGCCTGCTTCGCTAAAAATCTCCTCTCATCATCGAGAGACGTGCCGTAAAACTTAATCTCCGGCAAATTTCAGAAATCTCTAGATTCCTTTAGAGAATTCGAGGTAATACTGTTAAGTTTGGCGATATCAATCCGCGTATTATTTGATAGCCCGGCGTGTGAAAGGAAAAAAAAGGCTACGAAAGCAGCCAATGGTATTACGCATTTCCTAATCATTATTGCGTGACTAATATAAAAACCCCGGGAGACGAGCTGAAAGACAAGGTACATCGCATAACAACAATAGTTATAATGAAAATGCAAGTGCATTTCCATAAAACAGAGTAGTTTCGCAACTAAAAAATAGTATGAACAGTCGGCAAAAGATTTTGCTGTAGCGTCAGGAGATTGCATGCGTCTAACCTTCCGGTCAAGAAAGAAAACATTACGCAGAAACATTCATCACCCTGTCAGATTGAATTTTTCCTCGAGATTGACACGTGAGTATCGAAGTGGATTACTTCAATACTTTGACCTTTTTTTTCAGAGAGCAAAATTGACGTTTTCATTATCCCGACAAATGTTCGCCGCGTCAAAGATTGAATGTCCTTTGTCCAGTGTTTAGATCTCCTAATCTGTCTACAAGCGGCACTATCTGACAACAAGAAGTCGCGCCTTACATCGTTTCTTAGACTCCTGGTATAACGCCATCATGATCGTACTCGGCATTTGTGCGGTCGTAATCGTGGTTTTTGCGATAACTGCAGCGATGAGCGACAAGGTCCGTGAAGCCGTAATATCATCGAAAATCTACAAGAAAGGTTTTGCAGTCCATATGAACTTGTTCAGTCGTATTCACAACAACGCCGTCAGGAAACACAAAGAGGACATTTTCGAGAAATTGAAGTCATCCGTGGAAAGTGTTGGCGGTGGCGATATTTTGGAGATCGGAGCAGGAACCGGGGCAAATTTTGAGTTTTTCCCCGAGGGAAGCTCTATCATAGCACTTGAACCAAATCCACACATGGTACCATACTTAAGGGAAAACGCTGAAAAGTTCCCGCATGTGCAGCTCAAGAACATCGTACTAGGTTTTGCCGAAAACATGGATGGGATTCCAGATGCATCTGTCGCCGCTGTTGTATGCACCATGACACTGTGTTCAGTGAGTGATGTGAAGGCAACATTGGCAGAAATCAAGAGAGTTCTGAAGCCTGTAAGTACGCAAAATTTGTTTTAAAATTACGTCTGTATGTAGAACTTCTACCATTCGATGTGGATTCTTTTTTTCTTTGCCGCAGTTCACATGAAAAAACTTCGATAAATTGCTCAAAATGGGGATTTTAATTTTCTCCAAACATTTCTAGCGGCTGTCACTCTTTCCTTCCGCACGATTGTACTTCCCTTTCATCTGCCACGGATATCAGATCTTAATCCTCAAAGCCTTATCTTTAATTGTCCAGGAACTAGCTTGCTATTTTGTGTAAAGGAATGTTTAAGAAACTGAAACGTTGTTATTATGAATATGTAGGAATGTGCGTGTTTTTAAACATCGAAAGACGGGCAATATAAAAAAAATTGTTAATTCAAATAATTCTGATCTAATTTTAATTCTTTGATAGCCTCCTAATTGCACACTTCCGCTTAGGTGGTTCAAGAAAAATTACCAAACTCAACATCTCGCAGAAAACGGATGACTTAGATGAAGTTCAACTGTCATTTCTAAGATCACTGTTTTCAACGATTGCTAAAAGTCGTTTTTATATTAGACTACCTATCAAATTTAAATTGGATCGGAAGTATTTGATATAGCAAGCTTAAGTGTGTTCTATTTTTACGACCAATCTTTTGCGGCACATGAAAACTGCGGTTCTTTGTAATCACTCGCAATATTTTAACTTGCTCAAATTCCCATCGCGATCTCCACATCGCCCATTTGATAGCCTTCAATTTGAATGACATTTTTTTTTTGCGACACCTTTTAAAAAATTATCTGATTTGAACAGAGGAGAGGTTGAAATTAGTGTACATGCAGCCGTTATTGACACTGAGAGTATTTAATTTTGGCGAAGAAAAAACGGCTCTCTTTGTTTGATTTCTGAACATTTTGATCAAAGGAAGTTCCCCGTCAAAACAATTTGAAACGAGACGTTGTTACCTTGTCATTTTATCGAGACGCTTAGGGTCAAAATAGTGCCTAAAGTGACAGGTTTGATATCAGGGAATTGATACTCTTGTTTCGTCTACCATTTGGTGTTTTTTCATCGGATTCTTAGGAGAATAGCAGATTCTTTTGATCGTAGAAAGGACAAGGGTTGTAAACTTTGTGTTCGCCGGAGGCAAAAGTTTCAAGCGGCAACGACAGGCATAAAAACGGCAATTGAGATTGAAAGAGAGCTCGAGATCAATTTTAAAGCCACTTTGGTGACGTCAATTTATTTTGTTTAGCTTTTAGCTGAGTTACAGAACCCGGTATGAACGCGAGAAAACGATGATTACCTTAAATGCGTTTTTATCTTTTAAAGGAAATATTGACGAAATATGTTTTTTAGAGAAAACGTCCAGTAGGTAGACTTTGTTTACCAAAGCCAGGTGCATAAACATTTCAAAATATTTCCTTGGCCGAGTGTTAATATCAGATGACAAAAGTTATATTCTAATATCATTTCCGCTGTTTTGATTTCTGTGTTTTGATTCCAAAGTTATGCCAGGTGATTGCTTTGCAAAGACACATAACATGTGGAACAATAAACATTCTTGTGTGTATACATCATGCTGTTGGAAAGGTATAATTTTCCAAATGTTTGTTATTTCGTTTCTGTTTCAGGGAGGATATTTTTATTTCTTGGAGCATGTAGCAGGTATGTGGAGTCGTAAGAACTAAGTTCAATTCTGTTTTCTACATTGAGGCTTAGCTCATTCTTGCCGAATTCGGGGAGGTTTTACTGAGCGAAGGGCCTTGTAAGAGATTTGCGTGATTTTGCGCTTTCGCGATTGTTCTGCTTGTTTGCTTTGTTTTGTTTATTTTAATCGTTCCTGATGAAATCGCGCGTAGCAATTAATAATGGGAGTGTTCTTAGGCCTAGTCTGATGACAATGCTTTCGTAAGCTTGCCTTTTAGAGTAAATTTTCGACCACAAGAGGTTGCTTACGGAAGTTGACGTTGAACTTAAATGAAATTTGCCTTATCAGCTGCCAAAAATAGCAGCTGATACTTCTGGCATTGTTTCAACAATTACACAAGGATGTGTCTGTTTGATCGGAGGTCGAACATGACGTGGGGTCGATTTACGCCAAATATAATCCTTTTTCCTTTTTCTGTTCCAGACACGTTTTCGACTTTGCTCAGATTTGCGGTAAAAACCTTTTGCGTCTGTCATAAAAAAAAAATCAACCTCGTGCGTATCGATTGCTACGTCCGGCCCCGGTCTGGCCGTGGTCGCGAAATCATAAACCCAAAGCCGAAGAATAAAAATTTAGGCCGGCGACCGGATCACGAGACTCGTGCGAAACATGGCCAAGTCTCCGCCAGTGATCGCTCTCTGTTTCGAAGGACTTGAAAGTACTGCTTGACTTCCTTTCGGCTGTTAACGAGGCTTTTAGTGGTTTTCCTGCCACTTGAGGGTTTTAAACACGGCATATTGATGAAAGACAATGAGTAGACGAGTACATTGTAGTTTCTTCATTCACGTAAGTCGCTGCGATGGAGCCCTTCCTTCCCTTCTTCCGCGTATTTGAAACTCTTCCTGCGCACAAGAAATTCCAGGAGTTGTTCAAGTTTCTTTTGTTCTAATTTCCTGAAGCTTTAGAAAATTATTCTCTCAATTAAGAGAAGCCTCTCCTCTTTCTTAGCCGGTCGCTCGAAGCTTCAGCAGGCCGTGGAGAAAATCTCTCAAACATGCTTATATTGCTTTGTTTTTGCGCATTAGATGAACCAGAAACATGGAGGAACTCCTTCCAACGAAGATTTGACAACCAGTGGAAATATCTCGGCGACGGATGCTCTTGCAGCAGAGAAACGTGGACCCACCTGGACAATGCCAGCTTCAGTACTGTGTCTTACAGAAAATTTGACCTGAAAGAACTTACTGTGCTTTGTTACTTGATTCGACCTCATTTAGCTGGGCATGCTATAAAATGAGGTAGCATACATAATGGACGTCGCCCCACGCAAAGTTGGGCGAGAAACGTTCGACCCTTCACAAGACAAACCTTTTTACATTCACACCAGAGAGGGGTTTATATTGGTTCACTATCAAGTATAGCCTTTTTACTCCTAGGGAGGGGATCCCAAACAATTATTGATACAAGGTGGGGAGATGGGGAAGGTGGCGGGACGGTGATCGTGTTTTGATAGTAAATTACTCCAAGTGCAAAGTACTCACAGTTTTTCTTTTCTCACACAATTCGGCCATCATTAGTGCTTTTTCTCGGAGCCTTTTTTGTATTAAGGATGACAAAAGAGTCTAAGAATTCCTCTTATGAACCGCCAGTAATATTATGTTTCCTTACCGTGTTTCATTAAAAATCACCCCCTTCCTTCCCCCCCCCCTCCTCAGGCGATGTTTCTCCGCGTATTTATGTTATCAGGCACACGTAAGGTGTATCAGCACACACGATTTAACTGATATAAAGTTGACAACCAAGTAAAAAGGGAGTGATCGAAATTGATTATTTAACGTACACGACATATTTAGCCGCGCATTTGTTGGCGGTATAACCAAAATTATTCTACAGATTAGTAAAAGAAAAGTTTTATATGGCGCATGTGGGGGGTTTTGACGTGAAAACCAGAAATACATCGTTAGAAATTATACCACCTAAATCAGAATGAGTTGAATCTTTTCTACCTTTATAAATCAAGACACTAAGGGGTTGATCGTAATCGTTTTCAGTTCATTCAAAAAAAAAAAGAGAGAGAAAAAGATGGATTATTGTGAAGCACCTCGTATAAACTATTTTGACTGAATGCAAGTTATGAAGGCATATCAGTCTTCTCATTGGGTTCCAGGTTTAATTCATTAGTGAAACTTTATGGCACACGATGTTAGTGAGATTTTTGCACATTTGTCTGTTATGGTGGGCATAAATTTATTTGCCAGTTAATAGACAGGTTACTGATGATTTCCTTCGATTGAAGTTGATTGCCAGGTATGGGAATCTTTTCTGGAGAATATATCATGAGAACACAGAATTTCAGTGAAAAAAGTTAAAAAAAAAACTACATTTTTGATAGAGCGCAAGTATATTTGAATCTCCTCTTGAACCGAGAGATAATTCTTCAATTTCTTGTAGTAGTTAATATTGCACGAAAATGTATTCTACATTATCAAAAATAAAATTATGAATTCGAGAAGAATAATTCAATGATCAACCCTTCCATTTCTTTTACATTTCCGAGAGAAATAAATGGCGTGGAGTCTGGAAACGAGCTTGCTGCGCCAAATATGGTTGAGCGTAAGGAGCCTTAATAAGACAAATGATCAAAGGACTTCGACATAGGGTGTGTACGTTGTATTTACACCGAATATCGCTGTTAGTGACTCCATGACGTTTGTACAGATTTACAAAACTCAGCTTACTTTTATTTAAAATTATTTTCCTTGATGGTACGTGTTATTTAAAAATTACATTTCTAATGTCGCTTTCTAGCATGCATCCCATACACCTGAATAACTCTGGCCTCGTTCTCGTGCTCTGACCTCACTGATTACCCATAAAGCGTACATGCTTAACACGTGAATAACTCTGGCCTCGTTCTTGCGCACTGAGCCCACTGACAGGACCCGACCGACCTTTAAATACCTCATATATTACAGTTATTCCGGTCACTTTTTCTAGCGATTCTACCAAGGTGCTCCTTTCACTCAAAATCAAAATCAAATTGTACCTTAGCTATATAATTGGGATTCCAAATTTTGATTCCGGTCGGAATCCGGTCTATCGCGCATTAATGACATCAGAATGCTTGTCCTGCAAAAATAGAATGCTCTACCTTGATAGCACGGACGAGCTAGTGATAAATATGAAATTCACAAATTGAGTAGAGAATGAAATTAACCTTGAAAAGATACATCTTTAAGTAAGATGATTTTTCAGGCTACAATTCACTTGGTAATGGTAAGTATGGTTAGTAGAGTTTGTATTTATAAGTTCCGACGGTCCGAACCGAGAATTTTGAAAAAAAAAAAACCCTACATATACAACAGCGTTTCAACCGATAACCGAATAAAATATTTTCATTTAGTTTCTCTCTGGATGCATTAATTAAAGAGAGAGAACTTTCCGCAGATAAAAAAATTTATAATTTTATCATGTTAACCTACTATCAAAAAAATGTACAGTTCTTTTTTTTCCATGAGAATCCAAATCGTCTGCCACCACCATAGTGGTTGCGCAAGCGTAAAAAAGTTGAAAAGGAAATTCGAGTTTCAGTCTGCGCTTCCTGCTCACAATTCGTCCATTTTTTCATTTTTATACCGTGTGTCACAAAGCAGCACAATTACAGACACAATGTTTTTGTTCCTCTACAAGCAATAGAAAATAGCTCGCAAAAGTTGTTACACATGAGCATGATTGATACCATAATATTGACTCGTGTTCTGGAAAGTGATTGGTTACTCACACGGTTACTAATCCCAGGGAATGTAATACCCCTGGGGTAATTTTCACCCCTTACATGGTCACAGAGAAACGGTGTTCAACTCCTCACCTACACCAAGCACCAAAGCATGTTCTTGGGAAATCGCCGCTAGTTCTTTCAGCCACTCCTCCAAAACCACAATACAGTAGACCGCGTTTTTCACAGTCTTCGGATTTTTCCTCTTGTAAGTGTTCTTCTTAAAGGAATTTTTCGGCGAGTTTTGGGGACTGGAAAGTTTTCGAATGGTACCCGGTTTGGGATAGTTCTCAGCGCTTAAATCAGCGGTGCTACCGTACTTAGGGCTCAAAGAGTTTAAGCTCTCCCACGACTCGCTTAAGGACAAACTTGAGCTGGTGCTTGCACTCTCTAAACTTCCTCGTCTTTCCTGGTTGGCTTTTGTCAATTTCGGGCTTAAGGAAGCGTCTATCGATTGTTTTCGAAGATTAGAACTTCCCTTGCCAAAATATTTCGGCGCAGGGCCGTCTTTGAGCATGCGGACATTGCTCAGTAAGGAAGAGTCCGTTTTCTGTTTTAACAGCTTTCGAGTCGTCGTAGGGCTTCTGGTTTCAGGGTTTTTTGATATTTTCACCGGTTGTTGTACGTCCACAACAACACTCTGAATACTGACTCGACTCTTTTCCTCGCGAAGAATTAGGTTCTTTCTGGCCCGGCGCAGGAGTTTGTCGAGTTCGTCAACTTGATCAGCAATGTTCTCTACTTTAATTTTCACGGAACTAAGGATCTACGTGAAATACAACACAAAAATAGTATTAATTTCGGGCGCGATGCTTTCTTAAAATCGCAATAGAGTTAAAAATGGAAAACAGGCTTCAACTGGCGCGAAAACACACTCGGATATTTATCCGCAGACATAAGGGCGAAGCTCAAAGAAAACTATAGGCTTTGAGGGACAGATGGTGTCCAAGGAAAAATATGGGAGCATAATTTCTATCCAAAAAGAAGCTATTGTGTCTAGTGTCATTGACATATAATTTGCAGGACACGGAAGTTGGATGAAAACAGATGATGACTTTTCAGGGCAACTTAATGAACGCCTGGAACACAAAAGGAAACAACGCATTAAAATAAAAGAGGCAGCATCTCCTACCTGAAACAGTGAGCGAACTCCTGGTTTAAGAACCATGTTGTAATTAAGAAGAAACGATCGTAATAGCGGTTGAGGATATAAGGCCAGTCTAGTAACCACACCAGTCAAAATCAAGTTCACATAAAACGTGTTCTGCGGCATTCGTTCAACTTTTTGAAACAGCGTTATCAAAAACGGTCCCAAGTCTGGCTTAATTTGCTTCTGTTCAAACTCAGTCGCTGATAATGATCGCTTCACAGGCGCTTGCGCATCCTTGGGTGAAAGTGAAACCTGGTTCGGAATGTTGCCATTGGCAACAAGCATGGACACGTTAGATGAAGACCGCTCTCGTTCTTTCGAGGAGGGGTCCTGTACGGCAGGGTTTTGTCCATCATAGGGTGCGGACCAGCACGCGCACTTCATTTGACAAATTCTCAATAAACTTCGCGCGTCTGCAAGGTACTCCATGTAATCTGCACAAACTTCCGAGTAAAGATCTCCAAGAAAAGAAGACCGGTAAAACACCAATTCGCTGGATGCTTTGAGGTCGATCTTCATGGGTGGGGTGGGTGCGCTCCCGTTGAGATTCTCAGTGGAAGAAGACGACGATGAGTTGCGGCTGGAGTTATTACAACAGGAAGGTATCAACGATAAGAATTTAAAGGCGCTCTTGCTGTACAGATCCACTTCCTTGATAGTTCTTTTCTGGCTGCTCAGAATGTGCGTGCAAGGAATCAGATATCTGTTAAGGAGTCAGTTGTATGGTTCAGGTAATGTAGTGATACCCAATCAGTTTAAGGATCTTTGACATCAAAAGGCCCAAAACTGAAAATGTGCATCCTGGTTTTTTGCGGAATGAGGCGGCTGGGAGTACGGGTATACAAAGTCACTTCATGGGATGAGATGCTAGTTCATTGCTTGTTACCCTCCCCACCCTGCTGGCATTTCCACTGGTTCCCCTAAGTAAAGTACCTTACCTAAGGAAGGTACAGTCTGCAGTTGAGCCAAGTGGCACATTCAGACAAAGCCTGGTTTCTACAGCACGAACCCACCAGGAGTATTGTCACTCCCCCTGAATGGGAAGCCTGGGTTACCTCCAAGCATCTTGTCAGCTTTCCCTGACAGTTTAACTCTACCCATACATACTCCTGAGTGGAGACAGGCACCCTAAGAATAAAGTGTCTCTCCCAAGAACACAACACAAAGATCTTGCAAGGACTGGACAAAATATCTGTGGATGCAGAGTCCAAGCTACAGTTGTTCATACAATGGATAATGCTATCAAAAGGATATAAATCTCTTTCAGATGGATTGTGCAGTATGTTCTGTCAACACATATCTGTTGCAAAGTAATTTATCCATCAGATAGCATTACCCTCCCTTTGAACAACTGGACTCAGTGCAACAGTCACTTGACTTTGGTAGAAAAGTGATTCTCAACACCATTTTAAACTGTGGAATTTATAAAAAGCAACCCAGTTTGTCTCCTTCAGTGTGTTCTTTTGAATTAAAAGTTCTCTTTTTATGCCCAAGAAAGAGCACCCAGGTATTCATATTTCCCACCTGCCCATCCCTCTCAGCTAATACAGTGGCAGGGAAGCTGATGGTTGAAAACTTGATGGGGAAGAAGGCATTTGAGATAACCTGAGCTATATAAGACTAAATAAACACATTGCCAGTCTACTATGTACCAGTAAATAATTTAAAGTTATTAACAGAAGGTATGGAAACTCACTTGAGCACCAAACTATATATGATATCTTCACAGTTCAGGTCCAACAGAGTGTAAAACAAACCCAGTGATACTACAGCAAGCTAAGATAATGAATTTAAAAAAATGAATTTTCAATATAAATACATCCATCAAAGTACTGAAGACAACACAAATGAACTGTGATGACTATGTTAAGGTATTCAAAAAGCATTTTTAGGGTTTTAATTTGTATTAAAATGAAAAAATATTTTGTTGTAGTGCAGGACAGATTATCAGGGGTATCAATAAAAGCTAGGTACATTCCTTAAGCCCAGTTAGCCTTTGCTTAGCTATCGAGCAGGTTGTCGTGTTTGGGTTTTACCCTAAGGCCCCCTTTAAGCACAGCCACCTATTACATCTTCAGCAGCAGCAGCAGACACTTGTGGAAAAAGTTATTGAAACTCTTGAATAGCTGCACCCCACATTTCAAGGGTACTGTGATTATTTGATTTAAGAGCCCAGGGGCTTATTTACTTTTGGTACCTTGAGGGAGGGTAATTTTTTTGAAACAGGACACTTATAAGAAGGGCACTTCTTCAGAAATGGCAGAATGTGCAAAAACAGTTTTGATGTATATTTGAAAAGGATCAAGAAGACTGGAAAACAGACTTGTTGTGCCTGGATCCTTTCTGGACGTAACAACCAGCCAAGCAATTGTTGCAAAAATTGAAGAAGAGATCATTCCTTTGAAGGAATTGTGCACTGACATGAGCCAAAAGGATGTCTGAGTCTTAAAGTATGCAATCAAAGAAATATGAACCGTGTTTGAACTCAAAGCACAGGTACTCCTAACAGAATAGGGATGCTTATTGGTATAGGGGTGCTTATTAAAAAACAAAACAAAAACCAAATCAGAATGCTAAATCCAATCATTAGGGTAGTTATTATGTTAACCCAAATGTGAGCGGTAATATCAACTTTACCTGAGATTCATGTGCAATCCTTGAAACTAATAAGTCAAGAATGGGCATTCCATCACATCTTTCCACCAAAATGAACTCTAAAAACACTTTCATTAGATTGGCATCAGTGATGCTGCGTAGAAACAAGTCCAGATAGGATGTAGCAGCTATCAATGCTTCAGTAGATGACTGCAAAGATGAAAAGTTGCCACAAATTATCCACATTATCAATTCTCATTACAATCTGTCATACACTTCTTTTAACATTAGCTCTGAGAATTTGGTCTCCAATCAAATACTATCTCCTAGCTGATATTTTTCTTTATTTTCATCACCTTCCTCCTTTACAACAAGTTGGTATGGTGAGGAGAATTTACCCATTGGTCACCCTTGGAAGTGAAATACTGAAAGCCTACCTGGCCAAGTGATGATGCCATTACTGACACCAGAAATCCATGATAAATGAGATTGAGCAGCTTGGACTGGACTAGAGGATGGGCAATCTGAACAGAGAGTTGAAAGTTCAAAACTTAAAAAAAAGTTCAGTTCAGTCTGTGACATGTCCTCTATGGGCCACCATATATGAAGGCAAGTATTTTACAAAAGATAATTGAAATAAAAACTGAATTATCTTCTTAACAATTATCAATATAAAATAAAGGAAGATTTTATTTTTGTATTTTTTGTCTTGTCATAAGCGTGAGACAAAGAAAAAATTCTGAGTCCCCATGAGGAATCGAACCTCAGTCCTTCAGATTCTGCACTCCAATGCTCTACCACCGAGCCACAGAGACTCCACAGTGAGCGAGGTGGAATTTCTCTTTCTACAATAGGAATGAGCTTTGACTGATGCCTACAAACCATTCTACAATTTTTCGATATATTTTCCCCTTTAACAGATATTCCTTCTTTAATTTTCCTTTCTAAATTCTGAGGAAAGTCCACTTATGGGGCTTCAAGTAACCATACCAGCATGACACAAATCAATGAGTTAGACAAGACAACCTTTCATTTTCATGCATCACCAGCTACACAGGATATGCACATGTGCATGTGTTTACCTGAATGACATTGTTACAAAATTCAAGTGATGTCAGAAAGGAAACCAGCTCAGGGAAAGTTGCCCACAGACCTCTCTCCAAAGAGTACCAGTCCTCTGAAGGTATGTCGAGTGATGTTGGCAAATCAGAATATAAGGCACTGAGTCCTGTTGCCAATACCTAAGATGTTAAAGAGGGAAACTTAGACAAGGAATACAGTCTACATCTAAATTCTGTCTGAGTATTCAAAAACGGTCTTGAAATACTACAATGACCATGCTAATGATTTCAAGGATACTAGCCATGGCGGCTGAAACGCTGAACATTGTACTTTAAACACTAACAACACTTGGTCCAATGTCCAGTTTGAAAAGGATGGTAAAACATTGATTTGCTTCATTTGTTGTCCAATCAACCTTGATTTCTTCTAGATTTTTTCACCAGCTAATAATAGTTGTCGAAAGCCCTCAGTCAAATTCGAAGTCAAACCCGTACATTTGCGTATATAGATTAGGGAAACACATTATTTGAAGTATAAAATTTCAATTTAGCACATTTCTGGTTTCAAGTGATCGATATATTGTTCTTGCAAGAGGGTTTAACGGCAAGGCACGAAATCCAGCTTCACACAAGGAATAATTAACGAGCGCAAACGAAAATTACACAGGATCAAGGGAGATCATACATGAACTTAAGGGACACGATTTTACGAGTTTGCGTTACCGTTTGAAAGTTCTCATCAAGCCACACAAAAGGCGTAACAATTTTCATATGTACCATGTATTGCATACACCTAGAGGCAAGAAGTCGCTGTATCCGAGAACAATGTGAATAAGTAATCGTTGCCTCATATCAAACCGAAAACAGATCTCCCTTATCAGCAAATTTCTTAAACCATAGGATAAACTACTTCAAGCCGAAGTCAATTAAAATAAACAAACATGACATATTCGAAATAGCAACAAGAAAAGGCCCGCCAAAGTTTGAAGGTGATTTAAAAAAAAACATAATCTGCCGTCGCTCAAAGGGCCGACAAATTAAAAATATTGTAATTCAAACACAAAGTGAAAATAAAAACATCAAAAAATATGATGACGAGGGAGCACTAACCGGACAAAAGTCTGTATCTTCGGCAATATACCTGCCCAGCCTGGAATCAACTGATGATAAGGCCATGCATAACAGCATGGCATCGCGAGCCCAAACACCAACATTTCCATCCCGATGAACATAAGGAATCAGCAGAGAAAACACAGATAGCTTGGCTATCTGTGCGTGATGGTGATTATCCAAGAAAAAAAGATCTAACAGTGCAATATCCCGGTTGACACTCACGCAAAGGCCCTTCAGCACTGCCACAAAATGTTCTTCCTCGTCCGAGCAAATGTTGTTTACGCAAGAATGCAATAGATAGAGGAGAGGTTTCCAAACCTGCTCATAAATCAACAGTGGTGCTCTACCCTTCTCGATGAGATTCCTAAACAGTCTCAGCTGTTCTCGCTTCATGTCCTTGACACAATTCTTGCTCGATGCACTCCAGTTGTACACGGTATGAAATACATTTTCATCCAGCACATATTGTAAACATGGACCTGGGTCACCGTCCTTTTCATCGACTAAAACATTAATAATTTCGTTTAAATGGTGGACTAAAATATTACACCGCTCTTGATGGCCGATGGTTTTCTCGTCTAGCGCTATTATTGACTTCGCATTATTCCAGTGTACGTCTACAAGCCTCAAAAAATCCTGAGCGCCGAGCTCTACAAAATCGTCGTCTGGTTGCTTTTTTTCCGTGTCTGAACTCGGCGATTGAAGCGGCGACAAAGACGCAAGTCTCTTTAGTAAACTCATGGCTGGATAACGGCTTAAAAAAACCCATAAGGCGCTTGTTCAACCGGACAAGAGGTTATTTCTACTTTCAGTTAACTCCGCATCCGCCATCTTGGCTAAATTGGCCCGCACGACATCTGATGATAATTGACAACTTGGTACATTAGGAGCCAATCATATCGTGTTTCTATTTACGTTTGGTATTTCAATAGCGCAAACCTCGTCGACGAGTACTTGTCAAGTCAAGGAAGATGAAATTTAAACTCTAACCAACTTGCAATTTAAAAAATTTGGCTTCATCATTTTTGAGTGAAAGATCTTGGTAAGAAATGTTCTATGGAGTGACGAAAGATCCAAATCCATATTTTCATTTTTCATACTAAATTTGGAATTGTTCCTCAGTCAACCGCTACGTAATATTTATAAAACGTTACGCGATCAAACAAGCGAAGCAAGGATCCAGAGATTTAAAAATAGATTTTATAATGCCGTGCGTCTGTTCAAAGATAGATCACAGGTGACGGTAAGATGTGTCTAGGAAAAATAAGTGGCACTAGAGGCGCAGCTGTTACCACATTTTGCCGTCTTCTCTGATCTACCACTGTACTGACCTAGGGCAAAGTGGACTCTTTTTATTGTATATGAAAACAAATAAAAAAGAGCCATTTTTTTAAAGGTACGATTACACCTCACAATTAAACCTCACCCCCCTCAGTCATCTTTTCTTCTTCCCCTACCACTCCCCTAAGCGAGCAGCCTACGGCGGCATCCTTTCTAGTTCCTGGTTTTTTAAATTCCTTTCATCAGTTCCTCATCGAAGATACAAAGGCTTTGACTCCCTAAGAACATGACAAGAACCGAAGACAGCGAAGATGTCGCTACGGTGGGGAAACGTGAGTGGCGGTGCGAAATCCTAACACTCATTAAAAGTTTCTTGGACCAGCTAATATTAAGAGACAAAACTGGCTTTTTACAATCAGTTTTTAATGATTCAGATCAATCCTCATTAAGCACAACTATTATATTTGAGGTGTTTTTAACGTCTAAGATCCCTTTCGGTTCTGTCGAAGTAAATGGAACATGGAAGTCATCAGCACTTGATCATTGCGAGAGATTTCTTTTGAGCGAAACGAGTTTGTCTTTCAAAACTTCGATATCCGCAACAAGACCAGAGTACTGACTGCTGCTTTCTAATGACTCAGCCGAACTTTCTCTTAAAGACTCGGAACATGTCGGGTTATCTTCTTGTTGTAATCGCGTAACAACGTCTCTACCCTCTTTTTCTTCAATGACTGACACTTCACAGGAGCTTTCTTCTGAAAAACACTGTTTCCGACCGAAGGCATACTCGTCCTCCTCGTCTCCGCTTTTCAATATCTTCTGAAGTTTAAACATCAAGTTCTTTACATCCTCTAGATCTCCACCGAGTGTTTTGAAAGTTTGCTCTATTACCGTCATTTTATCGTGAACAGCAAGATCTTTTTCTCTATGGGTGTGGTCAGAATCCTCGCTATGTCCTTCAATATTATGTCCTCCATTCTGTTGAAGATGATTTTCCATTGCATAACTGTTTTCATGTGATTGTTCTGGGGAATTTTGCTTCCACATCTCCTTCAAAGAAGCCATAGAATCATTATTCAAAGACATGATATGAATTCAGAAGTCAAAGACGTTCTGCAAAAAGTGTCCAGGTTCTAAGACAAATCTAAGGGGAAAACGTAACAATGGCCATAGAGCGTGCGTCACTTAAGATGTAGGGCATGCGCACGCTAATCCCACCGACTGACTAACTGACTGACTAGCCGACTGACTAGCTCCGCCACCAGAGCTTCGCATGCCCGATTTTCGAGCTAGGAAAATTTCACGCATGAAAAACATTTCTTCCCCAAATAGAGCCTGCCCGAGTAAATTGCTGAAATCATATCAAAAGGTGTTGTAGGGCTTTGATTTTTTGACAACAATATGCCTTGTTTAAAAAAAAAGGGTCAAACTGCGTTTTGCATTCAGAGACCACAAGGCGTCTGAAAGGTGTCTTGGGAGTTGGGAGACAAAATCAAATGTCTTCCCAGGGAGCCACATGTAGGCAATGCGCATATTTGTCCTGTGGCGTTGCAGCAAGTGCTCGTAGCAAGTTCTCGTTTCATTGCTCTGCTCGCCCCTCCAACGATTATTGCTGATGTGAAGCGTCAAACAGTAGGGTCTATACAAAGAGATCGGAGGTTGACATAGACGACAAAGTACGATGGGTAACAAAACGATATGACACATTTATTTCTCAATAAAATGCATCTGTAAGAAAACTGTCTTTCACTATTTCGCAATAAAATTCAAGAGAGTTAAATATTAGGTCCTCCTTCCTTTAAGAAATAACAAAATTAAAACATAATGCGCTGCTAAAAAACTCACACATGGCGCTCAGAAACAGCGCGTGCCGTTTCAAAAACCTGCGCGCACCGCTAATGCGCTCATGCGCACCCACGCACAACTCGCGCACGCAGTTTCAAAAAAGTTCGTGTGCAGTTTTTGGTAACATTAGTGCGCGCCGATCTTTGATTCAGGAAAATTGTTTTCGCCTACTTCCGCCCACTTTTAAGAGCGCCTACCGCGCACTAGTGATTCGGATCATTGGATCCTTTAACTTTTGCTGTTTGTGGAAAAATGGTACATTAAAAAGAAGAAAGTAGCGTCCGTGAAGGAAAGCCTTCAAACACAAAACATTTGACTGAAATAAATGTAGAAGTGCCCACTCAGATTTGCTTAAACAGGCAACCCAACAAAACGACAGCAGAGGATGATGACGTCCACAGCTCCTTCAAACGCCTCTGGATGTCTGACACCGTTATTATCCTCTAAGTAAGGTGGTGTGATTCTCGTGTTTTGTGGCTCTCATGTTTGCTCGTCTTGCGTCAGCTCAGCCCTTCTTTGACTTCTGTTTCTTTGATTTCCGTTCATTATCACTGTCTGACTCCTCTGAATTGCTAGATTTACTGCTATTATCACCGCTGCTGGAGCTGGGAGAACTACTGCTACTGCTGTCATCAGAAGAATCACTGCTGTCTGTTGTGGATGAGTCATCAGATTCAGACTCCTCATTGTTGTCACTGCTTTCATTGTCACTTCCGACAGAAACAGTAAGAGACAAATCAATCCATCTGCACTCAAAATATATAGCTATATGCTCCCCTTCCACCCCCCCCCCTTTTTTTTCACTGGAAAAGTAGTAGAGCTGATCAACCAACATGCTGTTGAGCATGATGGTTGACAGGCAGCCCAAAAATAGAGCTGTCTTGGAAAATGCCTTGAAAAAATGTAAGAAAGTTGTTGACCAAAACCCTGGGTAACCTGTAATTGAAAATTCTCAACCAAACCTAACCCTTCCAAAGCTTGCCTTTCAAGGTTTGTGAAAACACAGCCTATTCATGACATGCAATGGTCAGCAAGTATAAGCTGATTGGGAAAATTTAAGACCTTCAAAGCACTTAAAATGCCAGAAAAAATTTCCACTTCAGACTTAAAAACTGATTTTGAAAGAAAGGAAAAGCCTTAACCCTTTAACTCCCAATATGTCGTTAGTAATTCTCCTTACTGTCTGCTATACAGTTCTTCTGATGTTAGTTTGGAGAATTTGGTATTGGATCAACTAATAATCCCCTAATTAAGAGTTTTCTTTATTCTCATCACTTGTCTGCTTGATATTGTATTGATATTGTAAGGAGAAATTCTGTCTTGGTCAGTCATGGGAGTTGAAGGGTTAAATAAACGATCATCCTTTAATTCCCATGAGTGACCAAGACAGAATTTCTCTTTACAATATCAAGCAGACAAGTAATGAGCAAAAGAAAAAATATCAAATATGGGATAATAAGTTGATCTAGTATCAAATTCTCAGAAACAACATTAAGGAGAATTAGTAATGAGATCTTGGGAGTGAAATGGCTAGGGGGGGGGCAGTAGAGATTAAAATCACACTAAAAATGAAATAAGCTCAGTTTTAAGATAGCCATAAAGTGGTCAAAGTCATTAAGTACAAACAAGGTTTCCCTATCATTTATTACAAATGAACCTCTAAATAAATCAAATACCTTTCATTTGGAGCACTTTTTTCCTTGTCAACTGACTCACTGTAGGGATAGAATTAAATTTTTACATTAGATTTAAAACAGAGGTATGTAAATAAGGGGTGTATGTAGTCGACTGAAAGCTGTTTGGACAGTGAAAGTGGTTTTATCAAGGCAAAAACCCAAAAAAAGGATGATGGGCTGATATGGGAGAAGATACTTCTAGAGGAATATTTTGAGAGGTGTAATGACATGCAGTTGGGCCTAAAACAGAGGAGCTTATTGGAAAGAAGCTCACAGCTGCAATTACATTTTGTTTATAAATAGATGAACCTATATTGAAGAGGTTAATTGACAGGGAAAGGGAGAATCTCACAATAAATGAACAAACCAAGCTTGTATATTATTGAGCCTAATTCATGCTGTTTCTAATTCTTTCACTAGTTTATCATCACTGATAAAGAACATGAAGTGCATATTTATTGGTTTATAACTCACACCAAAACAAGATTTTGGAAATATGATGATATATCGGCAACAAGCAAACTGCAGAATGCAGGACGATATATCTTGATCCTACTGAACCACAATAGCGGTGTTTTTCCTCATTGTTTAAACTTTCCCCACAAGGAGGACTTTAATGGCTCTGTATTCTATACTAGCTCCAATGACTACACAGAGGGAATCGCAGTAAAATCAGACTGGTATGAAAGCATCAATGGTAGCACGCTTTTTTCTGAGCTAAACTCGTGTAAAAAAGATGTTTTAAAAACTAGCTCGAGTTAGGTTTATCTGATTTTCAGATCAGTCCCCACATTGCCATATTCTTACAAGTTTCTATGTTTTACCTTTTACTTGAATCATTATTATCGCGAGAAGAACTGGCTAGTTTGATTTTCTTTTTCATCACCACTGTTCTCGAATCCCGCTGCAAATACTTTCGTTTATTGTTGCACTCGTACGTCCAATGACCCACTTGCAAACATTTTTGGCATCTTTGATTGCCTGCCTGTTCTTGCCTTAAAATTGAAATAAAATAGCAATTGTTTAACCTGCATATGATACTGAGTTAGTAGCTGAAATTCCCACCTTTTCTTGTTCAGGATGTAGGACCTCGCTGCATACGCCATTTTGTTTTGCCATTTGTTCCCAGTCTCCTGTGTAGATTGTTGGAAAATTAATGTCAATCCCAGGCTCTTCAAAGGGAGTACAGAGGTACTTTTCATTAGGTAATTTGAGAATGTTACAGGTATTAATCGGAAAGATTTCCACACAGCCCTATACTCATTATTCATATAGTATTTGTTTGGAGGAAAGAAAGGCGAAAACGATTGATTGTCTTCAGGGCTAGGCTACATTTAACAACATTAAGATGCCATACAGAATATTTCCCATTCATTTTCAATTGGGACCAGTGTTAAGATTTCTTCTGAACAGGTGTGCCAAAAGAGATTCCAAAATATCTGGTTTAGCAAAAAAAAGTTACTCCAACAACTCAACAGGGTCCATTGCACACTTTTCATAATATCATAAACCAACTCTGCATACATCACAACAGCCAATCAGAGATAACTAAAACATTTTCGGGAGCCAATGAGAACTAAGTGTGAAAATTTACCTCTCTCCTGAGGTACAGAAAAATGAAATTGATCAAGATGTGCTTGGTGTTAGTTTTGCATCTGATTGGTTAAAAGGGTGCTGCAAGTTTCCTTGACCAATCACAAAGAAGAGTAGGACAAAACTAAATGCAAACCTTGTCAACTTTAGAAATTCTTCAAATATAACTGACCTCTTGTTTTTACTAAAGAACATATCAAAAGAATCTATTAAGTACCAAAAACGTCACATTTATTTGCTTTCAGCATTCAAGAAATAATCCTCACGCTGTGGACACCAAAATACTTGATACTTTGTTCCTCATTTATTTACAAGCCGTATACTAGAGGAAAAATTAAATTAACCCCTTAACTCCCAGAAGTGCGACCTCTCCCTGAGATATCCACACATCCCCCTACAAACAAGTAATGAGATTACTCAAACCTATTAGGAGGTAGTTATCTTGATCTAACACCAAATTCTTGTAACTAATTTAAGAGAAAATGTGTGGCAGCTAGAGGGTAGAGTTTTCAGTCAGATATTGAGAGTTAAAGGGTTAAAATCCAAATGTACCCTTCACCTTATCATGCCCTGACAATACCAACATCAAAATAATACATTGATACCTAAGTTTTCTTAAAGTAATACCTGAACCATATCAACAGAATTAAAATAAAATTAAAAAACCTAGCTAAAAGTTGCAGGTTGACCAGGGCTTAAAGGTTTAGTTAAGAACTTTCCAGCTCAATTTAAAATGATCTTGTTATCTAAGTATTATATTAATTGAGATTATCAGTGAAGGTATAAAAATGACAAGCTGCATTTAATTCTGAATGTTTATAAATACTCTATGACACAACTAAGTTCCTCTAGTTAAAAGCGTTTGGACAAACACTGTAGGGAATTTATGCCTTTGAAAATGACTCATCACAAATCCTCACACAGAGTCCAACTTAACACTGGGTTATCACAAAATTACTCAATATCACAAGAATAATTTACTCAACAAAAAGCATTCCTAAAATAAATTATAACATACATTTCCAACAAAAAAGTACATTTCTACCATCATTTTCTTAATTAAGAAAGAAAGTTAAAAATCTTTCCTACTCTGAGTAGATTTCTTCATGTTGGTAGTTTTCACTTTTAGTTAGTAAAATAATGTTGGTTTTGGCATTCCCCTATTTAAGTATCAACTTGTCCACAACTGTGCCCAGAAACACACAAAAAAGGTCAGTTACTGAGCTGTAGATTTTTCTTATGTTAAATTGGCCTTTGTGATTGAGCCTTGAAACCAATAATTGTTGTCTCCCTTGCGAATATATCTATCCCTATCACTCCTAAGATTTAAATAACCAATTACCCACACAGTTTCTTCTACATTTATTTTCATTTTTGCTCCGTGAAACTGGCCTTCAATCAAAGATCATCCTCTAGTTGATAATCTAAGTTCTTCTTCTCACATTCCTGCTTTAAAATGTATCGATACTGCGAGGAGAAATTCTTTAATGGTCACTAGTAAGAGCAAAAGCACTCCAAGTATATCAACGACAATAATAATAATAAAAACAATTATGTTGATAATAACAGTTTTCTACAGCTACTAATAGATAAAAATAACTAAACAATGGAAGATTTTTGTGCAATCCAAAGGGAATGACCACTCCTTTTTCTTTTGTTTTGTAAAATGTTTTCTGGAGTTATATACAAACAATACAGAGCCACCCATTTGTTACCATAGCTATCATGACACAAACAATCTGATGTGAAAAAAGAATTTTTTGTTACAACACAGCAACTACCTGGAAACATGAACGAAATAATCTGATGTATTATGAATGAAAAAAAATCTTAATCACTTGTATTACCTACTACCAAAAAGGGATACAAAAAAAAAGCAGAAGATTAAAGTAAAAATTTTGGATTTCATCTAGGAAAAATTGTGTCTGAAACCCAGCTACCTTGAAAATAGAAAAGAAAAGAAAAACACCTCTGTTGATAGCATTTTGATCATTCCTGATTGCAAAGGAGGTGATGCAATGATTTTCATCCCAAACAGTAGTAGCCACAAATACTTCTGATTTTTGCACAGTTAAAGGAAATTTTTCCTTTCATGTAACCATTCTATCGATGGGATGGTGTCACTTAATATACACGCAATATCTACACGTACCCCTGACATACACAATCTTCAATACAACAATTCTAATTGATGATAACTGATTTGATAAACCTTTAACTCCCAGAAGTGATTAACACGTTACACACACTTCTCCCTACAATATCCATACATTAACCAGCAAACAGGTGACGAGAATACTAAAACTTATCAGTTAGAAGTTGTTGTCTTGATCTGACACCAAGTTCTTTTAACTAATTTACCAGGAAATGTGTAGGATCCAAAAGAGAGAATTTAACAATCAGATCTTGGGAATTAAAGGGTTAGGCTCTTAGATCAAGGTATTTCAACCAAATTTGAAGTTGAACTTGATGAATCTCTTTCCCAGTTCACCTCTGCACTAACACGAAGCACACGGCCAGATTCAGAAACACTGGAGCTTTCTGTAAAACACAGGAAAAAAAACATCTCAGTTATTTCTCTAAGTTAGTGAACTACTGTTCAAGAAGGCCCTAAAATGCAATCTCCTACCATTTTTTGAACTCAGACAATGGTCACGGACAGTAAAATTTAAAAAAAAATTCAGAAATTCTAACACATGAAAGTCATTCACCAATAATGTTCAAACCATTTGCTCTTCCAGGGGTTTAGTCAGCAAAATATCTGTCTCTATTCCTACCTGAACCATCAGAACTAGGCCTCCTCTCACTAACAGAAGGTTCAATCTCATTCATAACCACACCAGGATTGTCAGCAGCAGTACGATGGTCCTCATCAGGGAGTTCTGATGTACCAACTTCTACAGCTAATGTGCGACTTTCCTCAACACTGGGCTGGGAAATATAAAAAAAATCCACCATTGGTCCAGAACACTAGTGAGAGTACCATAAGCCTAAAATTGCATAAGGTTTTGTATTTTTGCTGTAAAACTAAAAAGGAAAAAGAATTTAAAGAAAGCAACAAAACTTTAAAGTCTGTAATACATGATTTAACAGAAATGTGTCATCTTCAGTTAATTAATGTACAAAGCATTGGAAGTTGAATTATATAGTACTGGTTGGTAGAAAAATGCTAATTATGATAAATGGTGACTACAAGAAAAGAGGTAAGGCATGAAAGTGTGAGAGTCAAAAGGATAGCTTTAGATTTACATGGTGTAATTGTTGATTCAAGGATCGTTGTTCTCTTTGAATACAAATGGCCTCTTTTATCTTGAGTTGAAAACTGGTAAAGGCATGATCCAAAACATGGAAGCTATCTGCTGAACACAAAGTGCAACAATGTGCAGAATCTTGCAGATGCTTGAAAATGTGAGAGGCCCTGTCACTGATTAAGTGCTCTCTGACATGTGTGGAAAAATGCCGGCACATTTCACCAACATAACAGGCATTACAGCCAGCACATACAAACTTATAAACCACATGTGAATGGAGCCTGTCAGGGACAGGGTCTTTCACACCGAAAAAAAAAAAAGAAAGAAATTGAACACTGGAAATAGTTCTGGAGTGCAATTTTGCTAGGAAAAATAAACAACTCTTAATTGTATGCAATAAAGCTGATGGTATAGAGAAGTGTGCAAGGTTTCCTTCACATTCTCTAATTGGGTACTTTCAAGAAGGACTAAAGATGAACATAGAATGTACAAAACAGTTGTAGCTGATAGTAATTATGTATCGGCCTATCAAACAAATAGAAAAGAAACATTAAAATAAATGACTAGTGCTCCTCCTGCATCAAGTGTGAAAGCATTTGCAAATTTTTTCCAACACTTACCAGCCCCAA